ATTATCTAGATTGTATTATAGATACCAGATCTAGATTGTATTATAGATACCAGATCTAGATTGTATTATAGATACCAGATCTAGATTGTATTATAGATCTACCAGATATAGATTGTATTATATATACCAGATCTATTTTGTTTTATAGATACCAGATCTAGATTGTATTATAGATACCAGATCTAGATTGTATTGTATTAGATTGTATTATAGATACCAGATCTAGATTGTATTATAGATACCAGATCTAGATTGTATTATAGATACCAGATCTAGATTGTATTATAGATACCAGATCTAGATTGTATATGTATTAGATTGTATTATATACCAGATCTAGATTGTATTATAGATACCAGATCTAGATTGTATTATTACCAGATCTAGATTGTATTATAGATACCAGATCTAGATTGTATTATAGAAGTACCAGATCTAGATTGTATTATAGAAGTACCAGATCTAGATTGTATTATAGAAGTACCAGATCTTGGTTGTATTATAGATACCAGATCTAGATTGTATTATAGAAGTACCAGATCTAGATTGTATTATAGATACCAGATCTAGATTGTATTATAGATACCAGATCTAGATTGTATTATTATCTAGATTGTATTATAGATACCAGATCTAGATTGTATTATAGATACCAGATCTAGATTGTATTATAGATACCAGATCTAGATTGTATTATTACCAGATCTAGATTGTATTATAGATACCAGATCTAGATTGTATTATATACCAGATCTAGATTGTATTATAGATACTAGATTGTAGATCTAGATTGTATTATAGATACCAGATCTAGATTGTATTATAGATACCAGATCTAGATTGTATTATAGAAGTACCAGATATAGATTGTATTATATATACAAGATCTATATTGTATTATAGATACCAGATCTAGATTGTATTATATACCAGATCTAGATTGTATTATAGATACCAGATCTAGATTGTATTATAGATACCAGATCTAGATTGTATTATAGATACCAGATCTAGATTGTATTATATAGATCTAGATATCTAGATTGTATTATACCAGATCTAGATTGTATTATAGATACCAGATCTAGATTGTATTATAGATACCAGATCTAGATTGTATTATAGATACCAGATCTAGATTGTATTATAGATACCAGATCTAGATTGTATTATAGATACCAGATCTAGATTGTATTATAGATACCAGATCTAGATTGTATTATAGAAGTACCAGATCTAGATTGTATTATAGATACCAGATCTAGATTGTATTATAGATACCAGATCTAGATTGTATTATAGAAGTACCAGATCTAGATTGTATTATAGATACCAGATCTAGATTGTATTATAGATACCAGATCTAGATTGTATTATTATCTAGATTGTATTATAGATACCAGATCTAGATTGTATTATAGATGTACCAGATCTAGATTGTATTATAGATACCAGATCTAGATTGTATTATAGAAGTACCAGATCTAGATTGTATTATAGATACCAGATCTAGATTGTATTATAGATACCAGATCTAGATTGTATTATAGATACCAGATCTAGATTGTATTATAGATACCAGATCTAGATTGTATTATAGATACCAGATCTAGATTGTATTATAGATACCAGATCTAGATTGTATTATAGATACCAGATCTAGATTGTATTATAGATACCAGATCTAGATTGTATTATAGATACCAGATCTAGATTGTATTATAGAGAAACCATATCTAGATTATTATAGAGTTACCAGATCTAGATTGTATTATAGATACCAGATCTAGATTGTATTATAGATACCAGATCTAGATTGTATTATAGAAGAAACAGATCTAGATTGTATTATAGAAGTACCAGATATAGATTGTATTATAGATACCTGATCTAGATTGTATTATAGAAGTACCAGATCTAGATTGTATTATCATCCTCAGTGTTTCAACTTGTGGTTACACGTAGAAGAGACAATACTTTCTATTTCAATTCTACAGACAAAATCCTCAGTTTGCCAGTTGAAAGAATTCTTCCTTACCTTATGAAATAGCAGTAATAATTCCTGTCAAATCCAACAAGGTCACCGGTCAACCATTTTGCTTTCTCAATCAGTCTCAAAATCGAATTGGCACAACTACGGACAATGGGGGATCATAAATATGAAATATGAGAAAGTGTCCTGCGATATACTTCTCGATATAACAAACTTTTAATGTCAAATTTAAAGATGGCCGGTTGTTTTTTTCTGACTGGTCTCAAACAGAAACACGGACCAACGAGAACCTAGATATGAAATCCGAGACAGATCCACCCACTGCTTCTCAAAAAATAGCGATAACAAACTTTCATTGTCAAAATTCAACATGGCTGAGCTTGCCTATCAGATATTTTGTTTTTCTTATCAGTCCCAAAGTCAAAAGACCGCAATAAGGGACCAAGGGTAACATACAAATGAAATATGGAGAAAGATTCGGCCAGTACATGTCAAGTATGGCATGACTTATCAAAATATAGCGACAATAATTATTGTTTACGAAGAAACGACAGGCGACAAACGATAAGCATTTATGTAAGGCGATTTGAATAGCCTTCCATAGTAGTGGCTGATATACTTCAAAGGCATGTTTAATTGTTTATTGAACAGGTTTTATATTCAGCCTTTCACCGGAGTGTTGAGCGGCTTCATATTGACAAAAGCATCTTGAAAATCAATTCCGTTGTAAATATTTCCAGTGGTCGGGTGTGTTGTACAATGTACATGTACTCCCAGTAACACATAAGAAAATCAGTCTGATTGTTATAAGGGACATATTGTTAACAAGATCTCATAATTCCAAGTCAAAATTATGCTATTATAACAACGAATAGCGTAATAAGTGTTAAACGGTATATATACGGGGTAGTTAAAATTTCCATCACATCATAGAGCTGGGACTATTAAAATATTTCACGGGTTTTACGTCCACTATTACGACCTCACTGTGGACGTACAGAGCTGGGACTATTAACCTATTTCACGGGTTTTACTTCCACTATTACGGCCTTTCTGTGGACGTACAGAGCTGGGACTATTTACTTATTTAACGGGTTTTACGTCCACTATTACGACCTCACTGTGGACGTACAGAGCTGGGACTATTAACCTATTTCACGGGTTTTACGTCCACTATTACGACCGTTTCTGTGGACGTACAAATCTGGGACTGTTTACATATTTAACGGGTTTTACGTCCACTATTACGACCGTTTCTGTGGACGTACAAATCTGGGACTGTTTACATATTTAACGGGTTTTACGTCCACTATTACGGCCTTTCTGTGGACGTACAGAGCTGGGACTATTTACTTATTTAACGGGTTTTACGTCCACTATTACGACCTTTCTGTGGACGTACAGAGCTGGGACTATTTACTTATTTAACGGGTTTTACGTCCACTATTACGACCTTTCTGTGTACTTACAGAGCTGGGACTATTTACTTATTTAACGGGTTTTACGTCCACTATTACGACCGTTTCTGTGGACGTACAAATCTGGGACTGTTTACATATTTAACGGGTTTTACGTCCACTATTACGACCTTTCTGTGTACTTACAGAGCTGGGACTATTTCGGGGTTTTACGTCCACTATTACGGCCTCACTGTGGACGTACAGAGCCGAGACGTACAGAGCCGAGCCGAGACGTACAGAGCCGAGACGTAGGGTCACGAACTAAGATACAGGGCTGAACTAATTAACTTTAAACTCCCATACTAATGAAAGTTTGATTAGAATTATAGGATCACAACACATTGTAATTAATGTAGATGACAAATTGTATGGAAAACCTTAAGGATCAGACGTTTCATGTCCGAAATATATCCACATGATTATTCGTAGAGTGAGTTTTTCCACTCATCTATTGTCTGTTTCGATGGAGTATTTAGTATGCTAGATGTTTTTATTTGATGGTCATGAATAATTCATCTCACTAAATTCCCCCAACATTATATATACTTAGCCACATGTGGCTTAAATGTTCAGTGTATATCCATAAATTAATATATAGATATCAATTACTTTCCCTCCACTTTGGCGTCGCAAACTACTAAAAAAGCCGGAATTATATATGTGTGTGTGTGTGTGTGTGTGTGTGTGTGTGTGTGTGTGTGTGTGTGTGTGTGTGTGTGTGTGTGTGTGTGTGTGTGATCTAGTAAGTAATATCGACGGTATGGCTAATGTTACTTACCAGAATATTTGACAACTCGCTTGTCCGCACTGTTGCTATTACTTCATTGATCATACATATATTTAAAAGGGGGAAACTTTGGTCATCACTCGAAACTTGAAAAAATTATTCCAGACATTTTTACTTGCTTGTGAAATGCTCTGACGACATTATAGCTCGTGTGTGTGTTTTTATTGCTATATATCAGAGACATATATGTGATATATACGTCTCTGTACATATATAAATATGAACTCTGCTATTTTAGTATCGTAGCAGCTGCAGTTTACATATCCCGTAAAGAACGACCGATTCCTGTGGTCAGAATTCCCATTCCATACTGCATTCAAATTAAAGACCAAGTATACGTGAAGAATTTGTCGCCAAATGGAATCTCAGAAAATTGATTTCTAATGATATCTTCCTTTTCTGACAGCCCAACAACTAGGTGTTGCCTCACAATATACTAAGATGATTTAAGGATGCAAGGGAGGTAACTTGTACTTTATGGGGTACAAAATTAACATTTTTTGTGTACAACATTTAAACTGAAGTTACGAACAAATCCCGGTAAAAGTAAATTATAAGTATAAAGTCAAAGATTTCTTAACAAGATCAATAGACGGAGACTGTAATCGCGCCAATCTTGGAGATTTGTTTCTTACAGGAAAAGGCAGGAATGTCTCTGAGCGAAAAGCGTTCCAAAGATCTTGATTTCTCCTGTTATGGAGTCACATGCATGCTAATGTTTGTAAACACACATACAGTGAGGAAGCGAGGCAATTCAGAGTGAACTTTTCATTGAAGTCTAATATCAATCATGTAGCTTTCGTCTGACAGTCTATCAAATCAATTCATCGTATATTAAAGTTGCAGGTTTGTACCAATGAGAAAGCATGATTTAACAAACGCGGATGCTGTATTGTAACCGTTCAGAGTGTCAAGTGTGTGTGTCAGACTCCATGCTTATCAGCTGACGATGAGCAACAGACCATATCTAACACCCTTGTGATTACTTTGTGATTGCATTGACCCCATGTTCTTGACACGGTACTGCATGTCAGTCTGCAGTATCTAATTATTTGTGCATTTTCTACGTTGATTGGCGAGTTTACTAGTGTTTCCATTATTCAGATATGTGGTTCTGTCTGTCAGTGAAGGGTACGATCATTGCCAGGTAACCACTTTTGGAATCTCGGTTTTAATTGTGCATTCATTTCTTTGAAGGAATGCCTTCATACAGCTACCTCTATACGTCTGTGCATGTTTCGTTTCGCTAGAGGCAATGTATCGATCTATGTACATTACTGTTTGTAACTCATTTGGTACAGTGTGTAGATTGTTAGATTTTTGTGAGGTTTAAAATCTTTGAAACATCCAGACTATTATGAGGATGATTAAGCGAGGGGTCACACATATAGTCATCAGTTTCACCGTGGTTGAGATACATGTGTAGAAATATAAGATTGGGGTGCTTCGTTAGAGCTACATAACCTGGATTGATGGACAATAAACATAGTATTCAGAGTTGAACACATTTATTAAAAGCTGGACAAGTGTGGCCTGGTTCAATTGTACACCGGAATATGGTCACATTTTATCTTTACATTAAATCAGAAGAAATAAAGGATTTACCATTTAGATTGATGGGTAGCTTTAAGTACAGGTAGTCAGTGAAGCTCATGGTCTGGGGTTTGATCCCAGGTGAGGTATACTGTCTTTCCTGTTACACCACTAATATAAAATATGTAGCACTACCTAATGTACAATTTACTTCGTAAGGATTGGAAGATGACATTTGAATGCATTAAGGTATAAACTTCATACAAGAACAGAGGACAGGGTTATGAAGAGCTTTAGTTACCTTTGATTTGGAGTTTCCTATGTCATGAAAGGAGCAAATGCTGACAGTTTCAAGATAAAGACTGCAATTACTATGAAATAGAATTTCTTTACTGGCACCTTAAATAGTTTGAACTATTGTTTTGTTTACTGTTGATTTACTCGTTACATGGCTTGGAAACTTCATTCTCTCTAGCTGTGATGTAGAAAACTCCATTCTCTCTGGCTGTGATGTAGAAAACTTCATTCTCTCCAGTTGTGATGTAGGAAACTTCATTCTCTCCAGCTGTAATGTAGGAAACTTCATTCTCTCCAGTTGTGATGTAGAAAACTTCATTCTCTCCAGTTGTGATGTAGAAAACTTCATTCTCTCCAGTTGTGATGTAATTCATTTGTTTTTTAACAGTTCCCCTACAGAGATATATAATTCATAATAAAGCTAGTTATTTAATTGCTGGAGACAATATTTCCAAATTAATTATATCATCCCTTTCCTCTGCAGGTTATAAGTTCAATGTGAAGACACCATAGTCGAAGGAGAATAGTTGGTGAGAAATCAAGATGAAGCCCCGTTTTGACTTGCTGGCATTTACAGCCCTCTTCTGTTTAGTAAGCGTGCTGCTGTACTTCAACTTTTCCATAGTTCTGCATTTACAACTAGTTTTCCTCAATAACTTGGAAAACGATCAGCAACAGTTCAAAGGAAAGCTTTTCCAAGGAGGCAGCTACAATATTGATAAGGCAGGCCCATTTGTAATCACATCTCAGTTGTTAAACAAAGGCAGTACTGACGATCTTGTGGAAGCAGATCTGGAACAGAACCTTACAGATAAAAAGAAAGGTTTAAAGCCTGGACTGAGAGTCAATGATAACTGTAACAACTTTAAGGATAGTGAGAAATTTGACTGTTACCCTGAAGGACTTGTGACAGAGGACAGGTGTCAGAAAAGGGGATGTTGTTGGCACCCAGTGTTGAATGCTTCTAATCCTGTCAGAGGCCTTCCACTCGGTGTTCCTTGGTGCTTCTACCCAGATGGTTATCCAGGCTACATAGTAGACAGTGTAAACTACCACCCCACTGGGGTCAGAGTTCAGATCTCCAGAAAAACTAACTCTTACTATTCCAATGACATCATGACGGCAGTGGTGGATGTGACGTATAGAACAGACTACACACTTAGGATAAAGGTAGGGAGGAGTATCCGGAAAGTAATACTGAAGAATATGTAGTGGAATTCTCAGTCTTTTTGAGATAACTGTCCCAAAAATGAGAGATGTAATTTTAATTTCACAAATTACCGAAAAACACATGATATTACTCGATATCTTCATAAAAAACATGGAAAACTATATACCACACAAATGTATGGTTGAAAGTGATTAACAGATTAATGGTTGAGGATGACTGTAGTGATAACAGATTAATGGTTGAGGATGACTGTAGTGATAACTGATTAATGGTTGAGGATGACTGTAGTGATAACAGATTAATGGTTGAGGATGACTGTAGTGATAACTGATTAATGGTTGAGGATGACTGTAATGATAACAGATTAATGGTTGAGGATGACTGTAGTGATAACAGATTAATGGTTGAGGATGACTGTAGTGATAACAGATTAATGGTTGAGGATGACTGTAGTGATAACTGATTAATGGTTGAGGATGACTGTAATGATAACAGATTAATGGTTGAAGATGACTGTAGTGATAACTGATTAATGGTTGAGGATGACTGTAGTGATAACAGATTAATGGTTGAAGATGACTGTAGTGATAACAGATTAATGGTTGAGGATGACTGTAATGATAACAGATTAATGGTTGAGGATGACTGTAATGATAACAGATTAATGGTTGAGGATGACTGTAGTGATAACAGATTAATGGTTGAGGATGACTGTAGTGATAACAGATTAATGGTTGAGGATGACTGTAGTGATAACAGATTAATGGTTGAGGATGACTGTAGTGATAACAGATTAATGGTAGTGATAACAGATTAATGGTTGAGGATGACTGTAGTGATAACAGATTAATGGTTGAGGATGACTGTAGTGATAACAGATTAATGGTTGAGGATGACTGTAGTGATAACAGATTAATGGTTGAGGATGACTGTAGTGATAACAGATTAATGGTTGAGGATGACTGTAGTGATAACAGATTAATGGTTGAGATGACTGTGATAACAGATTAATGGTGAGGATGACAGTGATAACAGATTAATGGTTGAGGATGACTAGTGATAACAGATTAATGGTTGAGGATGACTGTAGTGATAACAGATTAATGGTTGAGGATGACTGTAGTGATAACAGATTAATGGTTGAGGATGACTGTAATGATAACAGATTAATGGTTGAGGATGACTGTAGTGATAACAGATTAATGGTTGAGGATGACTGTAGTGATAACAGATTAATGGTGGAGGATGACTGTAATGATAACAGATTAATGGTGGAGGATGACTGTAGTGATAACAGATTAATGGTTGAGGATGACTGTAGTGATAACAGATTAATGGTTGAGGATGACTGTAGTGATAACAGATTAATGGTTCAGGATGACTGTAGTGATAACAGATTAATGGTTGAGGATGACTAGTGATAACAGATTAATGGTGGAGGATGACTGTAATGATAACAGATTAATGGTTGAGGATGACTGGTAACAGATATCATTATAATCTTGTCTCACTTTACAGATATATGACCCCCAGAAGAAAAGGTTTGAAGTTCCTTTATATGGCCCTTCATCATCTCAGACTACGGATAAAACTATGTACAGTTTCTCTGTGAGCAAAGTGGGAGAACCATTTAACTTTCAGTTAGTCAGGAAAACCATCACCGGCCAAGTTCCTGTCATCATGTAGGTATCATAAGTAGGACTAAAAATATTTTCACCCAGATAAAACTTATCTTGTTATCTCAGTAGGCTAAGATAGATCTGCTGAGTTTATGATACAACGATAAGAAAGGTCTTTTACATTTTATCTTTTTTATTCCAGTGTATTGAATGTGAAGAAGTGCAGATATACACATCTTATTTACATCTATATTTGATCATAAATGTTTCATATTGATGATGAACATTCTGCTTTCTTCATTTAAAATTAAATAAGACTGAGTTTTCACCATAAATGCCATTGTAAACAAAATATCACTTATAAAACTTGATTCAAGAGTAGAATTTACTGATCTCTGTTTATTGATGACATGGAACTTTGATAAAGTGGCTTTTGTTATTCAGATGTTATACTGTTGACCTATTCACAATGTTTATGGTTAGGGTAGAGGTCTTTCTAGAGTGAGTGACCCTACCATACCTGTGATGTTACAGACTGAGAACCAACCGTACAGCACCATTCTTGTTTACGGACCAGTACATCCAGCTGGCCTCATTCTTACCCTCCTACTACATATATGGCCTTGGAGAGCACCGTGGCAGTCTCCTTCATGATATAAATTGGAAGCAGTTCACTATGTGGAACAAGGACCAACCTCCAAAGGTATATCAAATGTGTCAGCAACATCATTCTCAATACAAAATACATGTAAGTGACTAATTGAGTGATTTGATTTGTTGCTGATGCAGGAAGAATTTCCTTTTAGCCACCAGTAGAGTATGTGTTAGACTCATAATTGGTAGTGCTGGATTATTTACAGTATGCTTGGTTCACTTGATTCTGTTGATTCTGAGAGTTTGTTTGAAATATCTGAAGCAATGTCCAGATATATATATTTATTACCTTATTTTTCATTGGTTGTTCAGGAGATGCTTCAAAATTTCAATGATTGACTTGTAGGAAAACACCAACCTATATGGTTCACATCCTTTTTACTTGTAGGAAAACACCAACCTGTACGGTTCACATCCATTTTACTTGTTGATGGAAGACAGGGGTGGAAGTTGTCATGGTGTCTTCTTAGCCAACAGCAATGCTATGGGTAATGTGTTCTTAGAGTTAAAATTGAACCTTGTCTAGAAATTAATGGTACATTGTTAGTCAGTTTATCATGAAACCCAGACACACCAGCATACAGCTGTAATGTATAAAGGAAACTGTTGACAGTAACCAAACAGGTAGAGATACCCGTAATATGATGTACGCTTGTGTTGACATTATACATTTCTGTTGTTATTATTGAGATTTCTGATGACAGATGTGATTCTCCAGCCGGCACCAGCTATAACCTGGCGTACTATCGGGGGTATCATTGATATGTATGTCTTCCTGGGCCCAAGTCCATCTGCTGTTATCCAGCAGTACACCGAGGTCATAGGCCGATCATTCATGCCACCCTATTGGAGTCTGGGATACCACCTGTGTAGGTGGGGCTATTCAACAGCAAACGGAACGCTTGCTGTGACGGACAGGGTCCGAGCAGCTGGCATTCCTCAGGTAGGCATATAACAATTCTAAATAAACAAAAGTGATTAAAATCCAGTTATAATCCAGCTAATGACAATATCATTACATTGATCTGTGTTCTTGTCTAGTCACAACCTTCCAGTACATATTAAGTTCTTGTCTAGTCACAACCTTCCGGTACTGTTAAGTTCTTGTCATGCTTATATTAGATTTGACTCAGTCCTTGTCCTGTGAGGATAGTCTAAAACCCATTATAATGGTTAGTAAGATCACCACAGTGCTTAGCTGTACATCACTATCTGTGACCTTCAGAAGGAAAATGTAACAGGATGTACAGTGCCTAGCTGTATGTAACTATCTGTGACCTTCAGAAGGATGTACAGTGCCTAGCTGTACGTAACTATATGTGACCTTCAGAAGGAAAATGTTACAGTATGTACAGTGCCTAGCTGTATGTAACTATCTGTGACCTTCAGAAGGATGTACAGTGCCTATCTGTACGTAACTACCTGTGACCTTCAGATGGATGTACAGTGCCTAGCTGTATGTAACTATCTGTGACCTTCAGAAGGAATATGTTACAGGATGTACAGTGCCTATCTGTATGTAACTATCTGTGACCTTCAGAAGGAATGTTACAGGATGTACAGTGCTAGCTGTATGTAACTATCTGTGACCTTCAGAAGGATGTACAATGCCTAGCTGTACGTAACTATCTGTGACCTTCAGAAGGAATATGTTACAGGATGTACAGTGCCTATCTGTATGTAACTATCTGTGACCTTCAGAAGGAATGTTACAGGATGTACAGTGCTAGCTGTATGTAACTATCTGTGACCTTCAGAAGGATGTACAATGCCTATCTGTACGTAACTATCTGTGACCTTCAGAAGGAATATGTTACAGGATGTACAGGATGTACAATGCCTAGCTGTACGTAACTATCTGTGACCTTCAGAAGGATGTACAGTGCCTAGCTGTACGTAACTATCTGTGACCTTCAGAAGGAATATGTTACAGGATGTACAGTGCCTAGCTGTATGTAACTATCTGTGACCTTCAGAAGGAAAATGTTACAGTATGTACAGTGCCTATCTGTACGTAACTATCTGTGACCTTCAGAAGGTAAATGTTACAGGATGTACAGGATGTACAATGCCTAGCTGTACGTAACTATCTGTGACCTTCAGAAGGATGTACAGTGCCTAGCTGTACGTAACTATCTGTGACCTTCAGAAGGATGTACAGTGCCTAGCTGTATGTAACTTTCTGTGACATTCAGAAGGATGTACAGTGCTAGCTGTACGTAGCTATCTGTGACCTTCAGAAGGATGTACAGTGCCTAGCTGTACGTAACTATCTGTGACCTTCAGAAGGATGTACAGTGCTAGCTGTACGTAGCTATCTGTGACCTTCAGATGGATGTACAGTGCCTAGCTGTATGTAACTATCTGTGACCTTCAGAAGGATGTACAGTGCTAGCTGTACGTAGCTATCTGTGACCTTCAGATGGATGTACAGTGCCTAGCTGTATGTAACTATCTGTGACCTTCAGAAGGAAAATGTTACAGGATGTACAGTGCCTAGCTGTACGTAACTATCTGTGACCTTCAGAAGGATGTACAGTGCTAGCTGTACCTAGCTATCTGTGACCTTCAGATGGATGTACAGTGCCTAGCTGTATGTAACTATCTATGACCTTCAGAAGGAAAATGTTACAGGATGTACAGTGCCTAGCTGTACGTAACTATCTGTGACCTTCAGAAGGATGTACAGTGCCTAGCTGTATGTAACTATCTGTGACCTTCAGAAGGATGTACAGTGCCTAGCTGTACTTAACTATCTGTGACCTACAGAAGGAAAATGTTACAGGATGTACAGTGCCTAGCTGTATGTAACTATCTGTGACCTTCAGAAGGATGTACAGTGCCTAGCTGTACGTAACTATCTGTGACCTTCAGAAGGATGTACAGTGCCTAGCTGTACGTAACTAACTGTGACCTTCAGAAGGAAAATGTTACAGTATGTACAGTGCCTAGCTGTACGTAACTATCTGTGACCTTCAGAAGGTAAATGTTACAGGATGTACAGTGCCTAGCTGTACGTAACTATCTGTGACCTTCAGAAGGATGTACAGTGCCTAGCTGTATGTAACTATCTGTGACCTTCAGAAGGATGTACAGTGCCTATCTGTACATAACTATCTGTGACCTTCAGAAGGAATATGTTACAGGATGTACAGTGCCTATCTGTATGTAACTATCTGTGACCTTCAGTCAGAAGGAATGTGTTTCAGGATGTACAGTGGAATGACATTGACTACATGGACAAGAAGCTTGACTTTACCACAGGAGCAAAGTTTGGTGACCAGGGAGCTATGGTGGATAAACTTCACCAGCGAGGAATGCATTACATCATGATATTGGTAAGTATGATGTAAATTTGTCTTAGGGTACAAGTAATGATGTACAGTAGATATATACACTATGTCATAATTACAGTAGATATATACACTATGCCATAATTACAGTAGATATATACACAATGCCATACTTACAGTAGATATATACACAATGTCATAATTACAGTAGATATATACACAATGCCATACTTACAGTAGATATATACACAATGCCAAAATTACAATAGATATATACACAATGCCATACTTACAGTAGATATATACACAATGTCATAATTACAGTAGATATATACACAATGTCATAATTACAGTAGATATATACACAATGCCATAATTACAATAGATATATACACAATGTCATAATTACAGTAGATATATACACAATGCCATAATTACAGTAGATATATACACTATGTCATAATTACAATAGATATATACACTATGTCATAATTACAATAGATATATACACAATGCCATAATTTCAATAGATATTTACACTATGTCATAATTACAGTAGATATATACACAATGCCATAATTTCAATAGATATTTACACTATGTCATAATTACAATAGATATATACACAATGCCATAATTACAGTAGATATATACACTATGTTTCTTTAAATTTGCTAGCTCTTACATTCTTCAGCACTTATTTTGTTTATAAACAGTTACGGCTTCTGAGCATTGGTTATGATTGTTTTCTATACTTGCCAAGTTGCCCTGTCCTTGATACTCAGGGGGTTACAATAACTTTCCCTCTCTACACCCCTGGAACATGTCATGGTAAAATTGAAGGTTCCATGAGTGACACCTTGTGGACAAGACAGAAAGACTAGTTTGATCCTTTGGTGTACATCAAGCAAATCTCAAGGTAGCATAACGGTATATTGTAATGGCTTTGAAGTTGGGCATCACTCCTCTGTAATCTTCAAAAGGAGCGTATCAGTCTGTGATTGGTCAGTTGATTTTTTACCTGGAACCAATCAAATTACTTGGCTTTGTGCCTTGGATTTTGGTATGACATGTTCCAGGGGTGCAGAGAGCAAAAGTGATCATAACCAGTGGAGCATCGAGGATGTTCTGCCATATTAGATGGCCAATCCAGTGTAGATTTTATAATAAGAATGATAGACATGTCATAAAATTGTGTTACCTGTTTAATAGGACCCAGGAATAAGTGACACACAGAAGCCTGGCTCTTACATGCCATATGACCTTGGAACGAAAATGGACATCTTTATCAAGGACAGTTCTGGAAAACCCCTGGTTGGTAAGGTAAGCTGTTATAAGACCTTGTGGCTATTCACTACTGTGTCCTTTCAAGTTTTCCTTGTGATTGAACCTTACTGATAATGAAGTTAGTGAAGTAAATATATATTGATAATTCTTCTGAAACTCTGTTTTATGATTTTGATCAAAACATTTGTTAAAAACTTTGATGTTATACTTGTTCATATGCTATAGCAGGACTCTTTGTAAAATGATTAAATCCCTTCATTCATAAAGTGGTATGTTTTATAAATGATAATAATTTTGTAAAATAATTAAATCCCTTGGTTCACAAACCTGTACTTGTAGGTATGGCCAGGCAACACCTTATTTCCAGATTTCACCCATCCCTTAGCATCTGAGTACTGGACAGAGGTGGTCAAGGAATTCCATGACAAAGTTGCGTTTGATGGGATATGGATTGTAAGTAAATTAGATTTTTGATACAAATATTTTTGTGATGTTTCACAATATAGATATATCATTATGTTGATCAAGTGCTGTTATCAGCAGGTATATGTACGATCAGACAATAACAGAGTGAAAACACACCTGTTTCTATAGCTTGACCATCAGACTATAACAGAGTGAAAACACGCCTGTTTCTATAGCTTGACCATCAGATTTTAACAGAGTGAAAACACACCTGTTTCTATAGCTTGACCATCAGACTATAACAGAGTGAAAACACGCCTGTTTCTATAGCTTGACCATCAGACTATAACAGAGTGAAAACACACCTGTTTCTATAGCTTGACCATCAGACTATAACAGAGTGAAAACACACCTGTTTCTATAGCTTGACCAATGAACACTATGGTGAGTGATATACTGTTGCTCATCACCTTTTGAATAAGTTGATATGATCCAGTTTATAAAACATGTTAGTACGCCGTTTATATTCACAAAATATCATCAATATTATACAGTTACAGCACTATGATAACCAATATCAACGTCAGTACCATAACTATTACATTATAGTATCAACACCAGAGTCAATTAAATTGCATCTTATTCCATTATATTCACCAAAGCATCATAATTACCACACCTTTGATAAAACGTTGTATTACTTGACATTTAGGGGACATGTGTCAGACAAATCTGATTGGCTGAAATTACATGATGTCACAGAACACTTGCACGAGCACACAATGTTTTATGATTGTCACAGAATGCAGTTTGATGTTTGTGATTAACATGTGATCAGGTGTAGACCAATCAGCATCCAATACAAAACTAACAATATAATAAATATACCTACATATAAGTCTATACATTACATGTACTCTGAGTGTGTGTTTAAGTGTGTGTAGAGTAAAAAGGGACGGGTAAATGTCTAAAATACTTAAATCTTTCTCTTTTTTCAGGATATGAATGAGATATCCAATTTTGTAGCTGGTTCCCTTTCTGGATGTCCCTCAAACTCTTTGGAAAATCCCCCTTATCTGCCAGGTAAGTCATTGTAAATACGAACAGATTTACATATCTAAGCCGCGGATGATTTTACAACTTAGTAGCTGTGGCTGGTTTTGATTACACAGGCTGTCAACTACTAGTAGCTGTGGCTGGTTTTGATTACACAGGCTGTCAACTACTAGTAGCTGTGGCTGGTTTTGATTACACAGGCTGTCAACTACTAGTAGCTGTGGCTGGTTTTGATTACACAGGCTGTCAACTACTAGTAGCTGTGGCTGGTTTTGATTACACAGGCTGTCAACTACTAGTAGCTGTGGCTGGTTTTGATTACACAGGCTGTCAACTACTAGTAGCTGTGGCTGGTTTTGATTACACAGGCTGTCAACTACTAGTAGCTGTGGCTGGTTTTGATTACACAGGCTGTCAACTACTAGTAGCTGTGGCTGGTTTTAATTACACAGGCTGTATGTGCAAGGTTTATATTTAATTATATTATGATTGTCCAGAGGTAAAATAGCATCAAGTTAGCCTGTGTTACCAAACATGTCCTTAGTAACTGGAATGTTTCTCAACATTTAGAAATCCAAGAAAGTTTACGTTACAATATAGTAGTATTACATTCAGAGTATTTTTGAGTTGTATTAATTTTTGGGGTATTTGTTATTTAGCTGTTGATGGAGGATCTCTGAGATTCAGCACTGTTTGTGCCTCATCCCGACAGAACCTATCAGTGTCATACAACACTCACAATCTGTATGGCCTCACAGAAACCATAGCAACATTCAAGTAAGTTCTACTTATACCATAGAAGGATACATGTAAGTGTTACAGATACCACAGTAGTATACAGGTAAGTCTGGCAGATATCATAGCAACATACAGGTAATTCTTACAGAAACCATAGCAACATTCAAGTAAGTTCTACTGATACCATAGCAGCATACATGTACAGGCAATTCATACAGACACCATGGCAACATGCATGGAAGTGTTACAAATACCATGGCAATGAAGGTGAAGTCTTTAAAAATGGTCTCTGAAGTTATCAAAACCTTGACATACACTCTCGTCTAATTGTGCTGTTTTAATGCGTATATATCTGTAAATTAACTCCGCTCTTTTATATAAAATAAGAAATTTTCATGTTTAAGATATTTTGATCAATAAAACTTTTACAGAGCTCTGCAAAATGTGCGAGGAAACAGGAGACCTTTTATTATATCTCGATCAACCTTCCCTGGTCAAGGTCAGTTTGGAGGTCATTGGTCAGGAGACAATGATGCTACTTACAGTGACATGTACTTCTCTATACCAGGTGAGGGGTCTTACAGACAGCGATTTAAAGATTTAAAAAAAATATTGATTCATATATCCTTAAACATATTCATGGTCTTCCTCTGTTTCATTTTAAAACTAAAAATGAAAACAGTCACTGTGAAGGTGTGATAGGTGATTAATTAATGTGTGGCTGTTATTTTCCTGCTCACAAGTCTTAATGTCAAGTTTATGTGGTACAGAGCTGCAGTGCAAGATACCAGAGACATAATAGTAGGTGGTCACTAGACAGATAACTATAGGACCAATGTCTTTTTCTTTTGATAGAAATCTTGAACTTTAACATGTTTGGGATTTCCATGATTGGTGCTGATATCTGTGGTTTCCGGTCGGAGACAAATGAACAGTTATGTGTCCGTTGGCATCAGCTTGGGGCTTTCTATCCATTTTCCAGAAATCACAACACTCTTGGAATGAAGGTAAGAGTGAGATGTATAGTGGTATAGAAAGGTCTATGTTAAGTTTGACTGCTTTGACCTGTTCTATCCATGAAAAAGATTGTAGTCCAATACTGAGGGTAAGTAGACAGAGACAGCAAATATGACAAAAAAAAATTAAAGAACACTGGATAGTGTGTGTATTTTTGAACAATATCAAAACTCACCTTAGATCTCACTGATGTAAACCAATATACCAAATTTTGTTAAAAAGTGAAAATGAAAGTTAATTGAAGGAAATAAAAGAACACATTTATCTTAAGGGTTTAACTCTATATATCAATATCAAAATCCTCTGATGTCTTTCCGATATAAAACAATATACCAAATTTGGTTCAGATCTTTATGGTGAAAGTATTTTACAGAAACCAAGAAACAATGTTTTTAAAGTTTCGAAACTCTGCAAAAATGTTGATAGATTTGGGCCAATGTCCAAGATCTTATTGATAAAAAGCAACATACCAAGTTTGGTTAAATCTGACAGTGAAAAATGAAGTTATTTGACAGAACAAAAATTGATCTTTATTGATTTTTAAAGTCCTGTAACTGTGGCTAATGTTGAAAGTTTTTGACCAATATCATACTTATCCTAGATTTTATGAATAAAAGTAACATACAAGATTTTATTCAAATCTGAGGGAAAAACTCAAATTATTGGATAGAAACCCTTAAACAGACAAACAAAAATTATCATTTGCTGTAAATTGTTGTGTATATGCCTTGAGATTTATATGAAATAAAATGTCATTTTTCAGTTAAAGAATGTTACTGCTATCTCTCAGGGTGAACTTGAAGGATTAATTCTTGTCTTAATTACATACATTGACACAATCCTTCTAACTTTACTGTTTCATGTATTTGACTGTTGTACTATAACACATATTTATGATAGGACCAGGATCCCGGTGCCTTCAGCTATGATGCCATGATTGCCATTAAAGAGGTGTACCTAGTGCGATACTCCCTACTCCCCTATCTCTACACACTATTTCACAAAAGTCACCAGATGGGTCACACTGTCGTCAGACCTCTCTTCTTTGAGTGAGTACACTTTTAGACCACCAACCCCCCTTTATCTGTCGTCTGTCCTTAAACAATTCTTGTTAATTGCTGTTGCTAGAAAAGCACTGGATGGATCATTTTAAAATTTCATATGTAGGTGTGCCTTATTCTCTATTTTAGGACTAATTGGAAAGAAAAAGAAAATGGCTGACAGGTGGCCATCTTGATTTTTGCCAGTCATACTTTGTAATTACTGTATCTGGAGAAATATTAGACTAATCTTTACCAATTTCAGATGTAAGTTCCCTTTTGTCCCTAGTTGTACCCTTTAGATTTTAGATCAGAAGAACAAAACTAGCGGACAGGTGGGCAACATGGATTTTGGCAATGAAAGTTTATCACTATTTCTTGAGAAATGGAGAGTGAATCTTTCTAAAAAAAATTATGTAGGTACCCCTTGGTTTCTTGTTGTGCCCTGCTGATTTTAGGACTGATGAGAACGACCAAATGGCAGACAGGAGTCCATGTTAAATTTTGACAAGGAATGTTTGTTATCACAATTTTTTGAGAAGTACTGAGTGGAACTTTCTCCAATTTCATTTGTAGGTTACCCTAAATCATTAATTGTTCTCTTTTGACTTTGGATTTGATCAGAAAACAATCTTAAACTTGACTGTTAAAGATCATGATCGCAATTTTCATGATTCGTAGAATTAAGAAGAAAAAATCCAAGGCTTATCGATGATTATCATTTGATATCATCAATAGGTGAGCTTTGCTGTCCCCAAGCAGCTCTTGTTTTTACTAAATACATATTCATGTTATATACATGTTTACAAGTACAGAGGATCATCAGACTATAACAAAAAAGACATGAACTAGTCCAGGAGGTCTTCATGACTGTCTATCATGGTGTTTGATGGGATGGAATATTTCGTAATTATCACATTTTAACAGATATACAACTTATCATAAATTTTTACACAATCATTTTACAGACATTCAGTTAGCTGGTATATATTAAAGTTTTTATAATTCTGTTTTGTAAACCATCAAAACATGATACATAATGACAAAGTAATATAGTAAAATGTTTATTTAGAGTTTTATGTATTTGGAGTAATGGTTGACAAGTGATTAAGACATCTGATTTTCTCTATTACTTTCCACCTCAGGGTCTCAATTCAACCCTGAACTAGGTACTGGCTACAGGCGAATGGTCTCTATCAGAGAAACCTGTCTGTCCTCCAACACCCAAACCTGTATTTCCTTTAATGACACTGGCTGTTAGTAGTACATAAAACAACAATAAACCAAACATATTGTAAGAAAGTTGAATTAACGTGTCATTTTTCTATCTCCCCTATACTATGTGTCAGGTTTCCTGATGATGAGATAACCTTCAGTATTGATCGCCAGTTTCTGTGGGGTGAGGCATTGATGATTTCACCAGTCCTTACAAAGGTAAGCAGTCAAAATGGAAGTCCTCATTACATCTGATATTGTTAAACATTATAGTAAACACCTGATATTGTTAAACATCATAGTAAACAGCTGATATTATTAAGCATCATAGTAAACAGCTGATATTGTTTAACATTAAAGTAACCGGCAGATAATGTTAAACATTGTAGTAAACAGCTGATATTGTTAAACATTATAGTAAACAGCTGATATTGTTAAACATTATAGTAAACAGCTGACATTGTTAAACATCAAAGTAAACATCTGATATTGATAAACGTCATAGTAAACAGCTGATATTGTTAAACATTATAGTATCAAAAGGAGGTCACTCTGACCTTCATATTGACCTTGACCTACTTCAAAAAAAAAGTTTTCTGTGCCCTATCTCCTACACTACCAGTCTCAGTCTTCATACTTGGGATATTATCTATCTCATTGTATTATAGATGATACATATTTTTCATCAATAAATTATTACTAACTTCTCCAAATGTACACAGTCTCTGCTAATTTAATTAATTCAGGATACTACAGCTGTTGATGTATATTTCCCGAGGTGTCGATGGTATGACCTTTACAATGGCCAGCATAATTTTGTGATGGGTGGTGTACAAAATTTACCTGCTCCCATTGATCACATTAACCTACATGTGCGTGGAGGGTACATCTTACCGATGCAGGAACCTGCCTTGACAACAACAGACAGGTATGTGACCTTTGACCTTAGCCAACTATGTAATACATTGTGTAGCATTGATCTGTAGTTTGAATGTTTCTGAAGACAAGTAAATAATGTATATTTATTGATGTCTGTAAGTTATTTGGATTACTGATCCCTTTGTTCAATTGTATTTTTACAGCCGTAAAAACCCTTTAAGTCTTCTTGTGGCTCTGAATGAAACGGGAATGGCTCACGGAAGTTTGTTCTGGGACGATGGAGACACGATAGGTGAGTATGCTATAGTAAATAAGTATGGACTGATTTCTTAATGTAAAACTCAATAATTAAGAAACAAGTTTATAAATATCTCAATACTGCATTGGGCTCTATGCAGTTAATGTGTGTTAAAGTGAGCTCTATATTGGAAATGAATGTTGATGTGTTTTTTTACTGAGCTCTACACAGATTTTGTGTGTTTGATTGAGCTCTACTTAGATTTTGTGTGTTTGAGTTCTACACAGATTTTGTGTGTTTGAGTTCTACACAGATTTTGTGTGTTTGAGTTCTACACAGATTTTGTGTGTTTGAGTTCTACACAGATTTTGTGTGTTTGATTGAGCTCTACTTAGATTTTGTGTGTTTGAGTTCTACACAGATTTTGTGTGTTTGAGTTCTACACAGATTTTGTGTGTTTGAGTTCTACACAGATTTCGTGTGTTTGATTGAGCTCTATACAGGTATTGCGTTTATCGCTGGAATTTGTTTTTGATTGAGATCTATACAGGCAATGTGTATATATTGTTTTCAATTTATGGAAACCATGCACCCTACCATTTTCTGTTACCGTTGTAGTTAACATTTATACATAGTCTTTACTCATTTTACACAACAGGGACTCATGCTTCTGGCAAATATATCATGATGGAGTTCCATGTGGCAGAGGTATGTAAATCACAGGATACTGTAGATATCTTAGGGGTAATCTCAATAAACTGTTACCGTTCATTCAGAACGTACAACATGGCACTATTCACTTTGAACGTACAACATAACACTTTTCTTGTGCTGTACATACAATACAGTGCATTCCCTGTGCTGAATGTACATGTATTGTGCTGAATTATGTTTGCACCAGTTACAGTTTCTGAATGATATCTATATAGCAATCAATGTGGATGTGTGAAAGCAGTGATAATATGCCTAAATTTGATTTTGCCCAATTAAATATATTCACTATATATTCACTCATAAATTGTATACTGATTTTTATGACATGGAATGTGCATTTCTGAAAAACTAACAAATGGCTTCAAGATGTGTTATATAAAAGATAAGATCAATTTCATACAAAGTCCGTTGGTAAAAAACAGGTACCATAAGCTCTGACTTATTTGATGTAGCAAACAGGATTTCAACTTCTGTAACATCTATTTACAATGATGACATATATTTGTGATTTCAGCAAGTGTTACAGAGTCAGATATTACAGAATAATTACACCACCTCTGTGACCTGGGGTAACATAACAGTTTACGGTGTGGAACAAAGACCAGCATCAGTTACAGTGAATGGACAGGCAGTGAAAAATATGTATGATGACAATTTCAAGGTCAGTCCAGAACCAAAGAGATATGTGTAAAATATGTTTTTGGTTAGTTATTGCACAAAAAAAAAAAAATGAAATTGTGATAAAGAGGATGTGTGATGATATCTTTAAGTCAGCTTTAGCACAAACTCAGATTCTTTATTACTGTAATCTAGATAGATTATCTGTATACATATACAAACAACTTGACAACACACGCACCCTAACACACGCACCCTACTATATGACACACATAAACACACACTCAAATATCAGCCAGTCGCAGCTCAGAATAGTGTAGAGAGATATCTCACAAACATTATTCATCTGAGGACTTACAAAAATGTTTCTGCATGGTGGAAACACGTTTCTTTGTGTGAAGCAAATCCTATTTTTTCTCCATCATATTTTCACCAGGATGATTTCAGTCCTGTTCTGATGTCATGGATACTAATTTCAGTACTATTTTAGGCATTTCAGCAAAACCTAATGAAAACATGCAGTACAAATAACGATCCTGATGACGTGTTCATTACTTTTCAGGCTGATCAAACATTCAGAATCGTTAATTTTTCAACTTTAACTACAGTTGACATGTCTATTCTAACATAAAAGACCATAAATTGGCTTCCTGTTTTATGTCCGAAGTTAACCGGAGTTAAAACTTGTGTTATATATCACCGATGTTTCTTTACAGGTTCTTAAAGTCACCAACCTGACTCTGGAATTAGCTCAAGTCTTTAAGATGGTGTGGAAATAGGAGACAGATTTCCACCTGAATAATGATGGTGGAAAACACTGAATTGCTGCTGGGTTTTATTTTGTAATCAAAACAAATATTCTCTACAGCTTTTGTTAGGTCACCTGAGACAAATTCCTAGGGTGACCTATTGCATTCCCTTTCATCCTACATCGTGCTTTATGCATCTTAAACTTTTTGACATTTTCAACGTCTGGAAAATTCCTGAACCATTGAAATTTCTTTTCATTCAGACTTGGTTAGAAGTCTTAGCATGGTACAGCAGTTTATGTATACACAATATTACATGGTACAGCAGTTTATGTATACACAATATTACATGGTACAGCAGTTTATGTATACACAATATTACATGGTACAGCAGTTTATGTATACACAATATTACATGGTACAGCAGTTTATGTATACACAATATTACATGGTACAGCAGTTTATGTATACACAATATTACATGGTACAGCAGTTTATGTATACACAATATTACCATGGTATTGTGTCTACCATATTGTTAAAGTTATATTATTTTTTTTAACAAAATCATTTCTCTGACATATTACAAGAAGCATTGTGACTCGGGTGACAGTTAAGGCCCATGGGCCTCTTGTTGAGTCTTAAATGTATATATCACAAAGGGTTTAAAGTATGTAACTACATGACATTTTAGTACTGAATCGGTTTTAGAAGCCACACTAGGTGAGCTGTATTCACTTTTAGTACTGAATCGGTTTTAGAAGCCACACTAGGTGAGCTGTATTCACTTTTAGTACTGAATCGGTTTTAGAAGCCACACTAGGTGAGCTGTATTCACTTTTAGTACTGAATCGGTTTTAGAAGCCACACTAGGTGAGCTGTATTAACTCTCTAAGCTGTTAAATTGCGTTTTCAGTTGAGATTGATGTGAGTTTTAGTTTCGCTTTTTATTGCTTTATTTTTGTTTTGTTGATTTGACTTTTTAAATATGTGAGTCTCACCAAAGACAGGGTTAAAGGTCATCCTCCCTCGAGTCAGCTGAACACAGAATACATCATCTAACCAACCAATTCATTAATCAACATTCAACACTTGTACCATTTGTTCAACAAGATGGCATTTTGAAAAGAATTCACCTCAGTTTCTCCTACTTTATAACTACCAGATTCAATCAAACATTTTTACAAGTGCTGGAAAACATGTCAGTTGATCATGTTTACTATTATAAGTGGTACTAAATACTGACCCTATAATCATAGTTCTGTACCACTATGTTATATTTATTGTCCTCCATTTTCCTCTACGTTTGTGTGTTATTTCAAGACAATTCCATCAAGTTATGTAGGTCATATTAGAAAGGTATATTCACATTTCATTTTCCTCGTTGTTATATACTGTTACCGTGAATACTGCCACATTACTTCTTTGTCAAGGTTCCTACTATCATTTATATTGTATCTAAGGTTACCACCAAACTGTACACTGTAACCTAGGTTACCAACATACTGTACACTGTAACCTAGGTTACCACCATACTGTACACTGTAATCTAGGTTACCACCAAACTGTACACTGTAACCTAGGTTACCACCAAACTGTACACTGTAACCTAGGTTACCACCAAACTGTACACTATAACCTAGGTTACCACCATACTGTACACTGTAACCTAGGTTACCACCAAACTGTACACTGTAACCTAGGTTACCACCATACTGCACACTGTAACCTAGGTTACCACCAAACTGTACACTGTAACCTAGGTTACCACCATACTGCACACTGTAACCGAGGTTACCACCATACTGCACACTGTAACCGAGGTTACCACCATATTATCCCTTAGGTTTCTCTGGAATAATTTTTTATCCTTTTCATTGCTGTTATATGTAAAATGTATAATGATGGAAGTATGTTGATTGGTAGCTTGGAATGTGGAACATTAATTTCTTACAGTACAATATTGTCCTGGACCAGCTAGATATGATTAAGTATATCGGTGCTGTTTTATATGGACTGTGATAATGTCAAGTGTCTAATTGCTTATCTGGCTGTTTTAAATCTTACATAACAGTGATGTATGTATATGGAAATACTGAATACAAGTGACTGTGTGATAAAGTGGGTATATCATGTATACCAAGGATATAGTTACATGTTAATGATGAATAGAATATATAACTAGTATGGCATGGTGTGTATGAAGGAAGTAATGTATACCAAGTGTGTTATGTTTAGTGTTGCTTAAATTCAGGGTATGACAGAAAGAAAATTTAAGAATGGGTGATACCTTATGTTGAAGTGTCAACAATACGAACAATAAAATATTGTTAATGATAAATATGGTATGTTGTTCTTATATATACAGGTGGGGAAGTCACGTGATGTTAGAGTGTATACACAGTAGGGTATCTGTTATATCTACAGGTGGGGAAGTCACATGATGTTAGAGTGTATACACAGTAGGGTATCTGTTATATCTACAGGTGGGGAAGTCACATGATGTTAGAGTGTATACACAGTAGGGTATCTGTTATATATACAGGTGGGGAAGTCACGTGATGTTAGAGTGTATACACAGTAGGGTATCTGTTATATATACAGGTGGTGAAGTCACGTAATGTTAGAGTGTATACACAGTAGGGTATCTGTTATATATACAGGTGGGGAAGTCACATGATGTTGGAGTGTATACACAGTAGGGTATCTGTTATATATACAGGTGGGGAAGTCACATGATGTTAGAGTGTATACACAGTAGGGTATCTGTTATATATACAGGTGGGGAAGTCACGTAATGTTAGAGTGTATACACAGTAGGGTATCTGTTATATATACAGGTGGGGAAGTCACATGATGTTAGAGTGTATACACAGTAGGGTATCTGTTATATATACAGGTGGGGAAGTCACATGATGTTAGAGTGTATACACAGTAGGGTATCTGTTATATATACAGGTGGGGAAGTCACATGATGTTAGAGTGTATACACAGTAGGGTATCTGTTATATATACAGGTGGGGAAGTCACATGATGTTAGAGTGTATACACAGTAGGGTATCTGTTATATATACAGGTGGGGAAGTCACATGATGTTAGAGTGTATACACAGTAGGGTATCTGTTATATATACAGGTGGGGAAGTCACGTGATGTTAGAGTGTATACACAGTAGGGTATCTGTTATATATACAGGTGGGGAAGTCACATGATGTTAGAGTGTATACACAGTAGGGTATCTGTTATATATACAGGTGGGGAAGTCACATGATGTTAGAGTGTATACACAGTAGGGTATCTGTTATATATACAGGTGGGGAAGTCACATGATGTTAGAGTGTATACACAGTAGGGTATCTGTTATATATACAGGTGGTGAAGTCACGTGATGTTAGAGTGTATACACAGTAGGGTATCTGTTATATATACAGGTGGGGAAGTCACATGATGATAGAGTGTATACACAGTAGAGTATCTGTTATATATACAGGTGGTGAAGTCACGTGATGTTAGAGTGTATACACAGTAGGGTATCTGTTATATATACAGGTGGTGAAGTCACGTGATGTTAGAGTGTATACACAGTAGGGTATCTGTTATATATACAGGTGGGGAAGTCACATGATGTTAGAGTGTATACACAGTAGGGTATCTGTTATATATACAGGTGGGGAAGTCACATGATGTTAGAGTGTATACACAGTAGGGTATCTGTTATATATACAGGTGGGGAAGTCACGTGATGTTAGAGTGTATACACAGTAGGGTATCTGTTATATATACAGGTGGGGAAGTCACATGATGTTAGAGTGTATACACAGTAGGGTATCTGTTATATATACAGGTGGGGAAGTCACGTGATGTTAGAGTGTATACACAGTAGGGTATCTGTTATATCTACAGGTGGGGAAGTCACATGATGTTAGAGTGTATACACAGTAGGGTATCTGTTATATATACAGGTGGGGAAGTCACATGATGTTAGAGTGTATACACAGTAGGGTATCTGTTATATATACAGGTGGGGAAGTCATGTGATGTTAGAGTGTATACACAGTAGGGTATCTGTTATATATACAGGTGGGGAAGTCACATGATGTTAGAGTGTATACACAGTAGGGTATCTGTTATATATACAGGTGGTGAAGTCACATGATGATAGAGTGTATACACAGTAGAGTATCTGTTATATATACAGGTGGAGAAGTCACATGATGTTAGAGTGTATACACAGTAGGGTATCTGTTATATCTACAGGTGGGGAAGTCATGTGATTTTAGAGTGTATACACAGTAGGGTATCTGTTATATATACAGGTGGTGAAGTCACATGATGTTAGAGTGTATACACAGTAGGGTATCTGTTATATCTACAGGTGGTGAAGTCACATGATGTTAGAGTGTATACACAGTAGGGTATCTGTTATATATACAGGTGGGGAAGTCACATGATGATAGAGTGTATACACAGTGTATCTGTTATATATACAGGTGGGGAAGTCACATGATGTTAGAGTGTATACACAGTAGGGTATCTGTTATATCTACAGGTGGGGAAGTCACATGATGTTAGAGTGTATACACAGTAGGGTATCTGTTATATATACAGGTGGGGAAGTCACATGATAATAGAGTGTATACACAGTAGAGTATCTGTTATATATACAGGTGGGGAAGTCACATGATGTTAGAGTGTATACACAGTAGAGTATCTGTTATATATACAGGTGGTGAAGTCACATGATGATAGAGTGTATACACAGTAGAGTATCTGTTATATATACAGGTGGAGAAGTCACATGATGTTAGAGTGTATACACAGTAGGGTATCTGTTATATATACAGGTGGAGAAGTCACGTGATGTTAGAGTGTATACACAGTAGGGTATCTGTTATATATACAGGTGGTGAAGTCACGTGATGTTAGAGTGTATACACAGTAGGGTATCTGTTATATATACAGGTGGTGAAGTCACATGATGTTAGAGTGTATACACAGTAGGGTATCTGTTATATATACAGGTGGGGAAGTCACATGATGATAGAGTGTATACACAGTAGAGTATCTGTTATATATACAGGTGGTGAAGTCACGTAATGTTAGAGTGTATACACAGTAGGGTATCTGTTATATCTACAGGTGGTGAAGTCACATGATGTTAGAGTGTATACACAGTAGGGTATCTGTTATATATACAGGTGGGGAAGTCACATGATGTTAGAGTGTATACACAGTAGGGTATCTGTTATATATACAGGTGGGGAAGTCACGTGATGTTAGAGTGTATACACAGTAGGGTATCTGTTATATATACAGGTGGTGAAGTCACGTGATGTTAGAGTGTATACACAGTAGGGTATCTGTTATATATACAGGTGGTGAAGTCACGTAATGTTAGAGTGTATACACAGTAGGGTATCTGTTATATCTACAGGTGGGGAAGTCACATGATGTTAGAGTGTATACACAGTAGGGTATCTGTTATATATACAGGTGGGGAAGTCACATGATGTTAGAGTGTATACACAGTAGGGTATCTGTTATATATACAGGTGGGGAAGTCACATGATGTTAGAGTGTATACACAGTAGGGTATCTGTTATATATACAGGTGGTGAAGTCACGTAATGTTAGAGTGTATACACAGTAGGGTATCTGTTATATATACAGGTGGGGAAGTCACATGATGTTAGCGTGTATACACAGTAGGGTATCTGTTATATATACAGGTGGGGAAGTCACATGATGTTAGAGTGTATACACAGTAGGGTATCTGTTATATATACAGGTGGGGAAGTCACATGATGTTAGAGTGTATACACAGTAGGGTATCTGTTATATATACAGGTGGTGAAGTCACGTAATGTTAGAGTGTATACACAGTAGGGTATCTGTTATATATACAGGTGGAGAAGTCACATGATGTTAGAGTGTATACACAGTAGGGTATCTGTTATATATACAGGTGGGGAAGTCACATGATGTTAGAGTGTATACACAGTAGGGTATCTGTTATATATACAGGTGGTGAAGTCACGTAATGTTAGAGTGTATACACAGTAGGGTATCTGTTATATCTACAGGTGGGGAAGTCATGTGATTTTAGAGTGTATACACAGTAGGGTATCTGTTATATATACAGGTGGAGAAGTCACATGATGTTAGAGTGTATACACAGTAGGGTATCTGTTATATATACAGGTGGAGAAGTCACATGATGTTAGAGTGTATACACAGTAGGGTATCTGTTATATATACAGGTGGGGAAGTCACATGATATTAGAGTGTATACACAGTAGGGTATCTGTTATATATACAGGTGGAACACGTGATGTTAGAGTGTATACACAGTAGGGTATCTGTTATATATACAGGTGGGGAAGTCACGTGATGTTAGAGTGTATACACAGTAGGGTATCTGTTATATATACAGTGGGGTAGTTATATATACAGGTGGGGAAGTGATGTTAGAGTGTATACACAGTAGGGTATCTGTTATATATACAGGTGGGGAAGTCACATGATGTTAGAGTGTATACACAGTATCTGGGTGGGGAAGTCACATGATGTTAGAGTGTATACACAGTAGGATATCTGTTATATCTACAGGTGGGGAAGTCACATGATGTTAGAGTGTATACACAGTAGGGTATCTGTTATATATACAGGTGGGGAAGTCACATGATGTTAGAGTGTATACACAGTAGAGTATCTGTTATATATACAGGTGGGGAAGTGTGATGTTAGAGTGTATACACGTAGGGTATCTGTTATATATACAGGTGGGGTGATGTTAGAGTGTATACACAGTAGGGTATCTGTTATATATACAGGTGGGGAAGTCACATGATGTGAGTGTATACACAGTAGGGTATCTGTTATATATACAGGTGGGGAAGTCACATGATGTTAGAGTGTATACACAGTAGGGTATCTGTTATATATACAGGTGGGGAAGTCACATGATGTTAGAGTGTATACACAGTAGGGTATCTGTTATATATACAGGTGGAGAAGTCACATGATGTTAGAGTGTATACACAGTAGGGTATCTGTTATATCTACAGGTGGGGAAGTCACATGATGTTAGAGTGTATACACAGTAGGGTATCTGTTATATCTAAAGGTGGGGAAGTCACGTGATGTTAGAGTGTATACACAGTAAGTATCTGTTATATATACAGGTGGTGAAGTCACATGATGTTAGAGTGTATACACAGTAGGGTATCTGTTATATCTACAGGTGGAAGTCACATGATGTTAGAGTGAAGTCACATGATGTTAGAGTGTATACACAGTAGGGTATCTGTTATATATACAGGTGGGGAAGTCACGTAATGTT